TTATTTATAAATACGTATGTCAAGTTATATTTTTATTACGACGTAAAATATATTTAAGAGTTTACGACCACTGTGCCTGGTGAGATGATGTTGAAACAAAAAAAGTTATGCATTCCATCACGTACATAAACAGTATCGTAATTCGCCAAGTGCAAATCAGCAAATTCGTAAAATTTTTGTTTATTTTGAACAATCCGGATAATCGAGGTTCTACTGTATTAATATATCCCATGTTTAAATTTTTCTCCGTTGTTTGTCATTTCGTGTTGAATTTTTGTCGATGTTAAGCCTAACAAAAATTTTTATAATGATAATCGTTGCTATTGTATTGTTAAAAATTATTTCTTTATTTTGTACAAACAAAATAAATATATTGAAAAATATAAAAACAAAAAAAAACTTATACTTTAGAAGTTAATCTAGTATCAAAAACATTTGATTCAGCATGACGCAGTCTGACTGGAACACTTTTGGTTAACCAACATTTCGGTTGATCGGCATTCGGATAATCGACGCTCTACTGTATTATATTTGTTAGGCAGATAGTTCCCTTTCGTTTTTGTCAACAAAATGTGTTAGAATGGAATTCTACCACCTCCATAAATTGATTTTCACATATTTTGATGTTAAAGTGGCAAATTTTCAAAGATTTACCTTTATCTAGAGTTAGGTCTAAGGCAAACTTTTGCTTTTTTAACTTGTGATCTTCCATATTTTTAGGTTTGGCTCCTCTTTTTTTACCAACAGTCTGTTTCATGTTAAAATCATAATCACATTCTAAAATTAATATATTTATTGAAATATTTTAAATAAAAGTATTTAAAAATAAAATAAAATACTTACCTTCTGAAAACATTTTCCTTAGATATGTAAGAAGTTCTTGCAAAAGAAGCTCTCGGCAATGTATTGAGCCAGTCTCTTATACGCAGTATTTATACTATCACTGGACACAAAAATAACAGATAACATGGATGTGAATTAATGTTTTTAGACAGTATTTTGAACAGGATGTCCGTTAATAATTTTAGAATAGCATGATGCCTATTAATATTCAACTGTACTTCGAATAACGGATTATTTAAATATGAATTGAAAACATGCAATGTCTATTAATATTTTAAGAATGTACTTCAAATAACATGATATTTAAAAATGAACACCACCCCTCTGTTGAATTTAAGTATAAATAGAATTGCCAGAATCAACAATCATTCACGAACTTCAGCATTTAAGTTCTACCAAGATGATTTTAAGTATATTTTCTTTTATATCTATATTCAATTGATATATTTAAAAAAAAGAATTGTGGATTCTAGCTCCTCAGAATTATTTTGCGGTAAGTATTAAAATTATTTTTTATTAAAATTAATACTGGGTATTATAATATAGTTTTTGATATAGGGGTTATCCTTGACTTCGAGGCTTTCATAATTCGAGACGAAAATCTTCCATTCAACACCTTATGTAGACAAGTTGGTTTTGTAGCAAGACATACAAATGATTTCAGAAAAATAGAGTTTTATAATCAATTCATTACTTTTGATAATTTATCACCAGATAATTTATCAAAAAACTAGTTAAATTTGGAAATTTCTTACATTGGCTATATTTATCATATAAAAAACATAATTTTGGATGTTGGGAATGTAATAGTAAGGTATATGGAATTTTATTTAATTTATATAAAAAGTATGAAATAATTTATTACAAGAGAGGGCAGATAGAATTTTTATGTTATATATTGATTCAGTTAAGTTTAAAAAATTAAATTCAATCATTTGACATTGAAAAGTTAGGCATATCTAAATCCTGTTGTCTATGTGATGTGTTCTCTTATAAATTTTATATGGATGAACATGGTAAATATATTTTTAATTATTATTATATAAAAATTAGTAAATATGATTACATTATTTTTTTTAAATTTGTATAGGTATGTAATTATTGTATTATTGCTAACTATTTTTAATTAAATCGTTTGGAATATAGAAAAATTATTAATTATAAAAATTATGAATTTAAGTCCGTTTCCCAGATATCCAGTCTGCAAGGTGGGGACTTTACTCTCCTCCATCCCCTGACCAACCCCTCCTATACACAGTTTTATGTCTCAAAAACTGATTTTACAGTGTATATGTTTGAAGCTTAATAGTAAAATTTTCTGTTTTCAAAATTAATTTTTATCTTCTTGAGAGCAATAGCATACACTTTGGGAATCATTAATTTAGACTAACATTTATCTCATTTCTATGATTTCAATAATAATGTTGTCATTAGCTGTATAACTATATCAGCTATATTTCTTCAATGTCTCAACAGCATATTACAAGACTTGCTGAATACTGTTGCAACATTAGATAATGTAACTGTTAAATTTTATCATTTACAGTTAGACCAATATAGAAAATAATAGTTTGGTTTTATCTTCAAAACTGGATCTGTGTGAAAATCTTTTTTCATTTGGTTTGGCATTATATACAATTTGTCCACTTTCCAATATGGCAGGAATGTATGCATTTGGTATATGCTTGTTTCAGTGCTAAAATAAATGACATTAAATATATTTCTTGGGACAAAAGATTAATTTTAAAAATTTCACTAGGCAGAGCATGCTCCATGAATAGACAGCATCCCCAATAGCAATCGATAACTGAACGTCTTAAAAGTGACAATGGATGAATGGCTTGACTTGCCATTGGTACAAGTGTGCATTTGGTACCTGCACAATGACATGCCACCACATTCCTGAACACATGTACTATACAGCACTAGCTCACAGAGCAGTTTAGGAACTGCTCCTAAAATATGCTGTTCCCCAAAGTTTACCCCTCTGGAATTTTTATTTTGTTGCCTGAAATCATTGGTGTAAGATACACACACTGCTTGCTGACGAACTGGGGATACTAGAGGCCTGTGGACAACACTAGAAATTCTACAAGCCATTTGTAATACCACAATTGACCACATACAGTACAGTACATTAGCAATGTGCAACCTTTTATGGATGCAGGCATGAAAGGAACGTTGTAGGCTTTTGGCAGGCCACGTACATTTTTTTGAGTTGCAGGCTTTAAGTCTGCTAAGTTCCAACATACTCTATAAGCATACTATACTAAGTACTAAAATAATGTACATTTAATGATATGTAACCTAGTAATATATAGCTTATTTTCAGCTTTTCATTGGTCAAGTCTAATTTGAAAATTGTGATGGGTATCAATTTAATTAAGGTTACATGAGGTATAAAACAGGAAAATAAAATTACATTACCAAAGCCCAAGAGCTGCATATTAGGACTTTGCAGGCCAGCCTGGGAGCACATGCTCATACCTGGTCAACATCTTTGTATTGCTGCTGAAGGTGGTTGTTTTGAACATGTTCTCTAACAAAATCATTTAATCAATTTCTGCAATGTTGCCTTAATCCTTTATAGTCAGATATTATTTTTATGTTATACAAAAACTATTTTAAATTGATTCCCTTATTATTTTCACACTGAAACAAGCATACACTGCATGTACACATTTGTGCAATGCTAGAAAGATCTTTTGTCCATGGATGTATGTTTAAGTGGATTGTTGTGAATAATATTTTAAGAACTTACAGAGTAACTGATGGTAGTACAAAATAAAATGCTATTATTTAAAATAATATGAAGCAAATTAATAATAGGCATCTTTAAAAATAGGCAAACACCATGGTATGCTACAAGTATGAGGTATTGAGAGTCAAACTTGCATACAGCCTAATGTATATTTTTCTTTTCTTTAAGATTTCACATTTTCCTGGTATCCCCATTGGCTGTACTATTTATTTTTTCTGTAATAAGTTTGCTTCTACTCAAAAATTTATCTCAGTGAGTGAGGCAAATATAGCTATACTATGTTAGATTAAAAACAATAGAAATATAATGCAGGAGCAAAATAGAGAGATTATTAGAATTATATGTTAAGTAATAAGAATCTTAATCTGACAAAGAATAATCACAAGAAATAATGATAGAGATTATTCTTATCTTAATAATTTTAAAATGTAAAACATAACAATAACAAATCAAATTAACATTGGAATTGATTCAATTATTTTGAAAAATTTACACTGAATTTAAAAAATAATTTAATAATTAAACTTCCAATTATATTTTGGTAAAGTTTCTTTCTGTAGAGTTTTTTTGAAAACTTTTGAGTTTTCAACTGAATTTTATAAAAGAGGTGCAGATCTGCAGGTATTATTACTGTTACTTTCTTGCTTAATGATTAAATTAGTGCTATTTGACAAACCTAAGCAAAATAATCTAAACCATCAAATGATGTTGAATTATTTTTATTTCCATTACATAAATGAATAAATTTGTGATATTGCTGACTATATTAAAAATATTCTTATTCATATATGTACATTATATATGAAAATACTTTTAGGTAAAATCAATATTTGAATAAAGTTTTTGAATTTGTTATTGAAACAAAGATAAATTTCTCTTAATTGATAAAAAATGCTTTTATTATAAATTAAAAATATAAAAAATTGATAATGGCTTAGTTTTCTACTCTTATATTACAAAGACCATGATAATAAAAATAAAAATACTGTATACAGTGATGATAGATGAATAAAGATTCTAAAATTAGTTCAATTTTCCTTTATTGGACCTGCAAAAAAAATTTGATGAAAGAATTAATATATAGATAAAAAACATAAAAAATTAAACTAAATAAATTTAAACATTTAAAATTTAGAAAAATGCCTAAAAATGTGCACAAGATACTATTATTTGTCATTTTAATTTACCATATACTTTAAACATTATCTTGTTATTATAGATAGATTTTAATCTTAGTTATTTATTCACATTATATCATGTCTATAATTATTTTTTAACATTAATTTTCTAAATAAGTAGTGTAAAGTTTGATTTACACTACTTGATAAGTAGTGTAAAGTTTGAAATAAATAAGATTATATAAAAAGATGATATTGTTTTAAAATGAGGTTGTGTCAGCAGGTACTACATGAAACAGAATTGTGTAAATTTATGTTTTTGTCCAAAGTAGTGCCATATGATTGCCTACTCTTGCAACCATTTATAATTAATAATAAACACATTTTAATGTTTTTTTATTAAATGTTTTACTTATGTTTTTACTATAATGAAAAATTATTTAGCACTATTAATAGCATTTGGTGGTTCTGTGTTCAGAATATCAGAAGTTAAAGAAACACAGTTTGCTGACCAGTCAAATTCATTCATTATACAAAAACATAAATCATGCGTAACAACCCCATGTTAAACAAGATCCTGATGTAGTTCATATAAAAATAATTGCACATTTTGATTATACTCAATTTCTGTTTTCTTTTTTCCTAACAATAGATCA